GTCATCATCCATGAAGACGTCGCGTCTCTGAAACGAGTCATTTGTTTCCTTGACCAAGACTTAGCATGCGGTACTTTCTTGCTACTTAAAAATATTAGTAAGCATAGTAGAAGTGGAATAAATATGACAGAAAATATTTCAGAACACCTGATGTTCCTGATCACATGGAAGGTTGATATCTGATGCCTTGAAAGGTCGTAATATTCACAATGATACGGAGCTTTAGAGAAAGGAACCGTAATTGTGCCATTTACTTAGAAGCACGTTGGGCGTTCATTTAGTAAATTAGCGAACAGAAATAGTTGAGAAGTGGGGGAAAGTGAAACCAGATAATTTACAGAGACTGAGGGGCAGACTTGTGGTAGTGAAAATCGAAAGTATATGCCAGTAACCCCACTCTAACTAAATAGCATTTCAGTGCAAATGCGGAACACCGTGAATGTCCGATGATGCAGATTTCCTGGGCGATCGTTCTTTTGGTGTACTGTCTTCAAACCTCTGATAGGATCTCGAGATTTGAGAAGTCTGCTTAGTTTAGTGATGAGCGTCTACGAAACCATCACTGAAGAGGTCTCTAATTGCCCAGTTGACAATTCATGGTGTTTTAAAGGAACAGCATCTGTCTTTACTCCTGCAATCAGGGTGAACCTTTTGACGCTACATCGTATAACTCGGAATAGTCTCAATCGCAGCAGGCAGGAAAACAGCTTGTGGCTCACTGGCAGGAAGTTCGACCAACTTCTGATTATCAAAGCCTTTTGATGCGAGCTCGGGGTCTTTACGGTCTAGAACTGGGATATGATTAGTTGTGGGCGGAAGATAAATACGTAATAACTAATTGTGCTCCGTTTACTTCCTAACTTTATCCTTCCAGAAGGTCCCCTTGCCGACTCCTTCGCACACCTCTACAGCTGTAACTGAAGATTAAGTCCAAGAAAAGTGATTTAGAACTTCAGAAATGGCTATTCTTATATTCCTTGTCTTTGAAAGCAATACTCTTTGCAATAGCGACTATAATGCTAAGACATCATGGATGTGGCACAGAGCGTGACTAGAACACTTTATCCCTTAAGGTTGCATGCTCTTAGACGGCGGGGGACAGAACTACTAGTGCCACGTTCTAATCTTAAGGGAGGTAGGCATTGGAACATTTTAAAGGACTCCATCACATCAAAGTCCAAAAGCTACGGTTTTTTAGGGCAGCCAGATTTACGTAACCACCTCTTCTGACTGTGCTTTGTGTTATAATGGGCCTACCTTCCATCCTTTCAAGGCCAAAGCACAGCCGTCTGTCTTTGGAAACATAAAAGATTTTCAAGGAGAAAATGTAAAACATAAAGGCATCTTCGGAAAAAATATGAGTCTCGGTGGGTCTCTTAGAACACTGATCGCTGCGGTATGTTTGGTAAAAGACTAATCTGCACGAAAATTTCTTACACGAAATATGACACAGTTGCGACAACCGGAGAGCTGCGCCGTATCTAATTCTTTCTTCCTATTAATCAGTCATACGAATGCCGGTTATACTTGTGGCTGACTTTATTTATTGTGGTTAATATCGTCGAACTTGAATGCCATTATGGCTGCTACTGACTTATAACGTATTTTTCAAATCACTTATGCATATAACACCCCATTGGCCGTACTCCAGCCTTGCGCTTGCTGTTGGGTTTTTAACAAATGGGTCAGATGAATGGAGACTTAATTACTTGATTTTTACGATAGGCGATCTGTACAGGTCACAGGCACCTAGTTTGTATGGATCTAAAGTTAGAACAAAAATTTGACGTGGAAAGCTATTTTGCGCCAAATTATTTGGGTTCCACCAGAACGCCTACATGCTATATACAACAGGCAGTTATTATATGGGTTAGCTCCCTCTACTTGAAAGTTGACTCGGAGAAGCAAGTTAAAGAACCGAATACACACTGTTCAAAGGACGAATGCTTCCTATAGTGGCCCTAATTCAGGCGCCTGTTGCGACGTTGCATCTCTTGCGAGTACTTGCAGAAGGCACCAGCGGCAGCCTGGTTCTCGGCCAATCAGGGCGATCCAAATCGGCCAATGAACTTCAGGATCGACTCAGAAGTGCGTCCGCTCAAGGCGCTGTAATCCAATGCCCACTCTCACTCACGACGCCACTCTCATGGCGCCGAGCGTGTTCTATCGTCCGGCCACCAGTTTATTCTATCCGGTTCGCCAATCCTGCTGCACAGAATACAATATCCTCCCGACACGTGTCCAAAACATCATCTTCCTATTGGGGACTGAGTCTGATGGTCGTAGTGGCTAAAGGCAGCCACGTGGATTTAGCTTCTGCAATTCTCATGAAGTAGTTTCAATTTTATGCTAGACCTACCACAAAACACAACAAACCATCCCTCTGTTTTCAACTTCCCGGTGACTCAGATGAATCGTTTAAATCGATCACTATTTCGGGTTTCGGCGTCGGATTTAAACTACCGACATAGGGAAACAAATAGCTGAATACACCGGGAGCTCTGTTGTCAGATGTTTGGCCTTCATAAACGCAAGAAGTAATTTCTCGTAATTTAAACTGTGGATAGAAGGTAGAACGCGTATTGAGTAGAATGCGTGTTAAATGGTTTCTGACACATACTCATGTCTTCTTGCCAACTAGTGAGCTCCGATTAAACCTCCGACGCATCCAATGATTTAAAGACATAAAAGCGCATCTGCTGGTCCTTAACAGCAAGGAAATTCTCGTGCTCCGCTTTTCTGCAACAAATACGTGCCAGAATGTGTTCCTAACCCTAACGCAGACCACATCAGTGGGCATTTACTCCCTTACCTGCTCATATGGAGCAGGTTACATTGGTCGTATGAGTCCGTGCCTGTCCACAAGACTGCGAGAACACCTGCCGGTATGGTTGACGAAAGGTGAAATTAAGAGCACACAGCTCCTTCCTCGCACTTGTGGTTGATTCTGGGTATCGTGTGGACCCCAACGAAGCCTTCTGTGTGATGTGTAAGGTCCCATCCCACTTCCCTAAGAAACTGGGTCAGCGCTTACTATAAACGCCAGAAGCGACCGCCATCAGGCTACGGGAGTCAGAAGTGTGAGCGCAGAAGAACCTCCTGCACGCTCCGCGTTTACCGTGACCGAAGATCGATTAACTGCGTGTATGTCTCCGTGCCCCGTTTCCCCTCTACCTAACCCTCACCGTCACTTGTTGTCTCCTCCCTACCATCCCCTCCTCTCCCCCCTATTCATACATCTAACTTTTGTGAAAAGACGAACAGTAATCGAGTCCTCTTATTGACTACACTTTTTTTACTTTGGGCATCGGTCCCATATAAATGTACTGTCCGACGAGAATTTGTCGAAAACACATGTATGTTCGCCAAATGGTCTTCTAAATATGACTTTACTTTGTCTGGGCGGCGTTAGCGTCCACTTTTACAGACGCCTAGGGTTAGGAACACATTCTGGCACGTATTTGTTGCAGAAAAGCGGAGCACGAGAATTTCCTTGCTGTTTAAAGACCAGCAGATGCGCTTATATGTCTTTAAATCATTGTATTCGTCGGAGGTTTAATCGGAGCTCACTAGTTGGCAAGAAGACATTAGTATGTGTCAGAAACCATTTAACACCATTGACCCTTCCAGTATGTTGCTGATGAGCGCCATTTCATATGTTGTTCGAACTCCTACAATCATGGGTATTTTCATATTTTCCCTGATTTATATAATTTTAGAAACCAAAGCAATAGTCTTTTGTTTCTCACCCTTTAATTAACTTCCCGTTTTGCACAAATGCCTTAGGCCTTGTCGTCGATAGATATGCCTTAACTGTTTCGTTTCCTAAGTTTGCCCTCACTGAGCTTCATAGTAGCCGTTTGTCAACTTCTTAGTTTTTCTTGTGATTTCCTTTTCTGCGGTCTTTCATTTCTCTCCGTTTTTCAGTCATCAACCTTCAGTTTGTTTCGCTTCTGTACGACAGTGCGAGTACTCACAACATGATTTCTTGTTGTCCAACCTCGTCCTCTCTTGTCTTGATTTATAAACGAAATACTGGGGTGCTGTCCTCCGAGAGTTTGTAAATGCACCGTATTCACTCTGAAACGCGGAGTGATTAGTAGAAACATATAATGAAAATACAAGTTACGTGGACACGACTATAATGAAACGCAACTATGTAAATTGTCTAAATGGATTCACAAAGCAAAAAGCGGATGGAAGTAGAGCGAAAGGGTTAACAAGATGCCAATAAAAGCAACTCATAGAATAGAATAGCTTTATTATAGCACCCCTTGGGCACTGTCAGTCTCCCTTGAACACAGGAAAAAAGCTAAAACAAACCCATCCATTAAGACTGCACTTTGACTGCATTTGTCTTGGGTGTCTCTTTAGCCAAAAGAGCGCGAATTGAGAGTTTGTCTTAAGTTAAAAAAAAACCTGAGTTCCAAGGAAAAATAATCACAAAAGTTTTAAGAAAGAACGATATGTACGACATAAAAATTAAAGTGTGCAGTTCGGTAGTTTCTGGGTAGGCATGAATAATATGTCCTTCATGGAAAATGAAGAACTTTGATATCGACCTGACCTTGAAAGTATTTTCCAGTTGGGTAAATTTGGTGTGCTCTAGTTGGTGTGTGATACGGCAGGAGTGAACTGACCGTTTTCTTTCTGTTTTATTATAGTGGCCTGTTTCTGAAAGGGAGTAGTGTGTGTTTTTTGTGCCTGCAGGATCTACGGAAGGAGCCCGCACTCCAACCCCTGTAGCGGCCTCCAGCTCTACACTTCCCGTGCTTCAACCAGCCAGCGACCGTGATTATATTGTTTGAGAACCTTCCTTGGACCAACAGTAATCTGCGAATATTCTTCCCTTCCCCTCCTGTTTTCCGATTCGTATGCGCTCACTGACGCTCTTCGTTTTTCCTCTCCCCGTCTCCCCTCATTCAATACACCGTTTATATTATCGACTATCTTAGTTGTCTACGTTACACTTGTTTGTCTGAAGTATTGCCTGCCGTACGATGCTGAAATCCAAAACGGAACCAACAAGCCAACCCGGACCAACCCCTGTTTTATGTGATTCTATCACGACGAAGAACGTTAACTCAGGGCCGGTCTCCCCGACAGGACAGCCAGCCGGACCGCCCACTACATTGGTGGCAGCGGTGCCCACGAGCTCCGCTCCGCACAACCGTGCCAACAATTCCTCATACACCACACTGCCCTTGAAGCTAACTGCTTACGATGAGAAGAAAGACTTTTCCGCTTGGCTCCGGCGCTCTCGATTCCATGCTGGAGTGGTTCCTCCCCAAGACCAAAGTATGGCCATCGTACAGAGTCTAACGGTCACCCAACTGGATAAGGCACTGGACGCCGGGTTATCCGAGGAAACCCCACTGGCCCAACTATGCAGTGAGTTGGAAAACCTGCTGCAATCCTCTATATCTAAACGAGAGGCGTTATACCGCATGTACTCGCGACGGAGACTAATAGCTGTATCGGCCAAGGACTTCGCAGACGGCTTATACTGCCTTTGTAAGGCGGCGTTTTCGTCTATCTCCCCTGCCGACTGCAACGACGCCGTCGTCTACCACTTTATTAAATACATTGAACCATCCGAACTACGCCGTTCACTCCTACTGCAGCCACCCCACGACCTCCAAGACGCCAACAGTCGTGTAAACCATTACTCAACACTGCCACATTCTGACTTACCCCGCCAGTCATTTCTTCAAAACAATCAAGCCCAGAACTGGCAACGAGACGATGGCGGTAATCACAACCGGCCGGGACCCTTTAACCGATTCCAGTACCCCAGACGCGGGGAGTATAACCGTTTTGGCAACCCCCAAGTCTGCGCATGTCACAGCCACCGGTCAAACCCATCCAACGAACTTGCCGGATCGGGTACGTGTTCCATTCCGCTTGTCTCCCAGCTTCATGCCACAGTACCACCATTGTCTACTGAACTACTTCTTAATCAGCGACAGATCCGCGCCTTAATAGACACGGAGGCGACGATATCGTTAGTAAACCCGCAACTACTGTCCCATGCACAAAATGTGCAGATAGACCCGAGACCCCGGTCCACATGCTTAACCACAGCAGATGGCTCTCGGTTGGACTGCATCGGCAGCATTTTGTTACAACTGACATTTCAGTCCGGGTTGAGACAAAATAGCTTTTTGGTAGTGCTAGGACTAGCTATGGATATATTGCTAGGACTCGATTTCCTCAGTAGATACAATTGTGACACCAGCGTACTATCGAGTTCCAAAGACCACTCTCTACTACACAGGCCGACTCACCTACGTTCGACGAAGACGCAGTGTGTGCCGCTATTCAAGCCACAGTTGCCTTACCAACCGTTCACATCGACACCATGCTACCTGACACCACGAATGTAACCGACAACGACCGTGAGATATTGAGAGCCCTACTAACAGAGTTCACAGAAGTTTTTGCGTGGGATGACGACTCTCTATGCAGAGCGACATATCTGCGGCACTCCATCGACACCGGCAGTGCCAAACCGGTATGACAGCCACCTCGGCGACTACCGGCCCATTTCCAGGACGAAGTCAGTCAAATGATTGATTTTATGCTTAAGAATCGAGTTATGCGCCCGTCAAACTCACCATGGGCATCTCCCGTTACCCTAATACCGAAGAAAGACGGGAAGCTACGCCTTTACGTCGACTACCGCAGACTCAACGCCTTGACCACTCGAGACTCCTTCCCACTTCCCCGTATCGATGTGACCCTGGAGGCACTAGCCGGCGCACGCTGGTTTTCTACTTTAGATCTTAAATCGGGGTACTGGCAGGTCGAGATAGAACCTGCAGACCGCCACAAGACAGCATTTACACTTTCACAAGGACTATTCGAATATGAGACCATGCCATTCGGCTTATGCAATGCACCAGCAACATTTCAGCGCCTGATGCAAGTCGTCCTTGGTTAACTGCTACCAAATCAGTGCCTGGTCTATTTAGACGATGTTATAGTTTTCGGACGCACCATAGCACATCATAATTAAAACCTCGCGGCCGTTTTAACCGCACTGAGCGACGCGGGTTTATGTCTTAACCCACAGAAGTGTTTGTTTTTACGTGACAAGGTCACCTATTTGGGACATGAAATCAGTCGAGAAGGCATCCAGGCTTCCCCGGAGAAAGTCAACGCTGTTAAATTGTGGCCGATTCCTAAATCAGTAACCGAACTCCGTAGTTTTCTTGGATTAGCGTCTTACTATCGCAAATTTATTTCAAATTTTGCATCCATTGCTCAACCATTACATCGGTTAACCGAGAAAGGACGAAAATTTACGTGGACTGACGACTGTCAGATTGCTTTCGACGATCTGAAAGCCCACCTGCTCTCTGCACCGATACTCACACTACCAAACACGGAAGCAGACGCTCCGCCGTTTATTCTGGACACAGACGCCAACGGGTTCGCCATGGGGGAGTGCTATCACAAGCTGATGCCAACGGAACCGAACGACCTGTTTGCTTTGCCAGCAAGACGTTATCAAAGCCACAACTTAATTACTGCACTTATCGTCGCGAACTTCTGGCCCTCATAACGTTCGCTAAACAGTTTCGAGCGTTTTTGATCGGCAAACCATTTATCCTGCGGACTGACCACAAAGCCTTGCAGTGGCTACAGAATACGAAAGATGCAGAAGGACGGTTAACAAGATGGCATGAGACACTTCAGCAGTTTACCTTCTCATGTCAGTACCGGCCAGAGACTAAACACACCAACGCTGATGCTCTCTCCCGCCGCTATGACGAATCGACCTCTGAGGCGACCGCGACACCAGATGTTACCATCAATGCCGTGCACATGAGCGAACCTACGCGGTACCATTGGACAGTGGCACAAAGCACCGATCCCGACACAGCCATCCTGTACAACCACCAAAGTGCGGGCAGGCACCGACCGACAGACGAGGATCTTAGAGGATCATCTGAAGTCGCTCATCTACTACGCAATTACTGGCCTAACATCTTCATTGACAACGACTTACTTTTCATTAAAGAAACTGCCAATTCCACTCCTCTTGTTGTTGTGCCTGGCAGCTTAATAATTCCCGTTTTAACTGATTTACACCATGAGCTCGGTCACGTGGGCCAGGCTAAAACCGAAAATGCAGCCAGGCAACGATTTTGGTGGCCACAGTTACGTGAAACGGTGGCCACATTTTGTAACAGTTGTCCTGTTTATGCGTCGTTTAAAAGCCCTCAACAATGATTTCGCGCTCCTCTCCAGCCTATGGTCACAGGGTTTCCGTTCCAACGCGTTGGGGCTGACATAATTGGACCTTTGGCCTATTCTACTTCCGGATATCAGTATATCTTAGTCATGGTCGACTATTTCACTAAATGGGCAGAAGCCATACCCCTCCGCAGACAGGATGCGCTATCAGTGACAACTGCCTTCTTTAACGACTGGATTTGCCGTTTTGGGGCTCCCCTTTCCCTTCACTCAGACTGTGGCGCCAACTTTGAAAGTAAGTTAATACAAGACGTATGCGATCAGTTACACAGTCACAAGACACGAACAACCCCGGCACATCCCGAAGGCAACGGACAAGTCGAACGAACCAATCGCACTCTCATAAACCTTCTAAAAGCGTTTGCCGAGCATCATCGACCTTTCAACTGAAACACTAGGCTACCCTATGCCCTAATGGCTTATCGCGCGACGGTTCACTCCTCTACAGGATACTCGCTTTTTTATGCTTACTGGACGGAACTTCCGACTACCTATGGACTCCAACATACCCATCATGGAATCCGAGACCTACACCACCGGCTCTTACATGCTGGAGCTTCAAGAACTATTACGAATCACACACAATTTAGCACGTGAACATCTAGGTTCAGCATATCAACGACAGAAAGAAAACTTCGACACACAAGTTTCCGGCACTCCTTATCAACCAGGCGATCTTGTTCTGCGTTACCGACCCATACCACCCGTTGGCGTATCAGCGAAGTTTTTCCATCCTTGCGAAGGCCCTTTCCGCATTCTTCGCGTCATCCTACCTACCACATACCTTATACAGGATGCCACAATGCCCAATAGCCCAACCATGACTGTTCATTTTGACAAATCAAAGCCCTTTAGAGGACGCTTACTACTAGCACCACACGACACCCTACCCATCCTTCCCGATCATTTAGTTCCAGAACCCTCCAACGAAATTACCATACATGACCCTTTACCGCGCGTCCCTGGGGACCCTGTAGACAGGGTCCCACCCTGAGGGGAGGAAAGTGTGATACGGCAGGAGTGAACTGACCGTTTTCTTTCTGTTTTATTATAGTGGCCTGTTTCTGAAAGGGAGTAGTGTGTGTTTTTTGTGCCTGCAGGATCTACGGAAGGAGCCCGCACTCCAACCCCTGTAGCGGCCTCCAGCTCTACACTTCCCGTGCTTCAACCAGCCAGCGACCGTGATTATATTGTTTGAGAACCTTCCTTGGACCAACAGTAATCTGCGAATATTCTTCCCTTCCCCTCCTGTTTTCCGATTCGTATGCGCTCACTGACGCTCTTCGTTTTTCCTCTCCGCGTCTCCCCTCATTCAATACACCGTTTATATTATCGACTATCTTAGTTGTCTACGTTACACTTGTTTGTCTGAAGTATTGCCTGCCGTACGATGCTGAAATCCAGAACGGAACCAACAAGCCAACCCGGACCAACCCCTGTTTTATGTGATTCTATCACGACGAAGAACGTTAACTCAGGGCCGGTCTCCCCGACAGGACAGCCAGCCGGACCGCCCACTACAGGTGGTTGTCAGTATATCTGGCCAGCTGTAAAGGGGAGGTCGCACATTTCCTTCGTGTTTTTCTGGAGGCTTGCTCTAATTGTCTGGACTAAGAGCTGGACAATATGAATATATATCAGGAGTGAGAAACATTCAATGGTAAGTCACAATCAAAGCAGTCGAAATAATATTGAATCATGTATCATGTTGATTCTTGTGAATATGACATTATAAGAGTTGTGGTCGACTGTTTAGTATGATCTAATATAGTTGTATATATGTTTAATATGACTTTAATATAGACTTACGTACAACTAATATGTAGGGTTTTCTCGAAAGGGGTGTTATTATTAGCTCCTTAAGGGATATTTAGTGTCAGGTTACATAGCCGATAGAAACGATAAAGGGAGGAGAGAAAGAATATCACTATTCGTTCTATGTTTATCAATGATGCTAACTTTCATAAATTTGATTGTTTTTATTGCTATGTTCCTGTGTTATACAAGCGGCTGGTATCATCAGAGCCCTTTCGGACCAAATTCTATATCAAAGAATTGACTTAAAAAATGTCCTATTTTATTCAAAAATAAATGTGTATTGTTATTTGAAAAGAATTTCTTAGTTTTTATTTTAAACTCGGTTAAGGTTCGACTTTTCCGGATAGAACTGGGAAGAGCATTCCAGATAGAGGCATATCTTATGGTGTAGAAATTCGACCGTTGGGACTTTGTGAATTTGGGAATCCTTATAATATCTTCGTTATTTCTGGTGTTTCTGGGGGCGTTTTGGTTTGTTAGTAAATTCATTTTGAGAATATCTTGGTCATGGGTGACCCTGAATAGGAAGTTTAGACCATTTTGGAGTCTTCTTATCCAGAGTGGTCGAAGACCGTATTTATGATATAGTTCTAAGTATGAACCTTGGGTGTTATCACTTCTGGAAAAAGATCGAGTAAAACGTCTTTGAATGTACTCCAGTTTCTTTCGGTCGTCTGAGGGCATTATACCGAAGAAAATTGAGCAATAATCTAGGAGGGGTAAAACATACATTTTGAAAAGTTGTATTCTTAGCGCATTTAAGGTGAAATTTTTAATTATGAATGCACATAGGCGAGTGGCTTTCGGTGATATTTGTCGGACGTGTGGAGATAAATCAAGGGTATTTGTATAGCTGAGACCTAAATCTTTTACCGATGAGGCCTCCGTGATTTCATTATCCTCGAAAATTATGGGGGGAAGTTTTTGTGGGCCAAAGATCGGGAGATGACATTTTTCGGGTGAAAAGGACATCTGCCACTGACTACTCCATTCGCTGAGTTTTCTGAGGTCAGTTTCAATTGTTCTATGAATATCAGCAACTATGTTCCCGTTATATGCATATGCAAGTTTTAGGTCGTCCGCATATAAAAACGTCTTAGCCGATACTGATATGGACGATAAGTCGTGAATATATATGAGAAATATAAGCGGGCCTAGGATAGTGCCTTGAAGTACTCCACTGGTAAAAGGGGATGGTTCTGAGACTACGTTTCGAATTTGCACCACTTGATATCGGTTTTGAAGATAGGATTTAAGAAAATCGAGAAGAGGAGACCTAATTCCATGACTTTTGAGCTTTACCAGTGGTTTTTTATGGGGGACTTTGTCAAAGGCCTTTTTTTAGATCGAAGTATATTGAAGCTACTGTGTCTCCATCATGAAGAGGTGAAGAGAGGAACATTTGAGCCATGACCAAACGTTGTAAATTGGGGATGAACAATTACTACAGGGCACCAGATTGATTCAATGGAATTAATAAAGTAGGTTCAGATGATGCTAAAGTGAGGTCCGACTAGGAATAAATGTGGGCACGTAAGGGTAGTAGCAGATGGCAAAAAACGTTTTTCTATACAAATATTGAAAAAGGGTCTAAGAGATCCCCATAAACAAGAAAAAAAATACAGAAGTGTAGAAGGCAAAATACATTACTGCTTTTAGGTAGCTGAATGCGTCTAGGAGGCTGGTCATAATGGATATACTCTCTTTTGTTCCTCCCTCCGCCTTGGCTTCGGCATAGAATTTACTACTTTCCAGGATGTTGCCCTCGCAAATTCGGAGACTATTTCCTTGGATAACCCAATCCTTGGGCTAGTGAAACGCGGCATGCTCCGTTTTTTTAGCGCAAACATAACTTTACCACTTTAATGAATGTGCGTGGGAGGGGAATGCCTGGCAAATTTGGATAAGGAAATCGGCATCTACATAATCAATCCCATAATGTGACTTGTAATTTTTAACTAGATGTGCACATGGCCTTCTCTGCACCAGCATGGGAATTTTAAACACTTAAAAACAATTTGTATGGCTTGGAATAACAAACAGTAAACGGACTTTGTTGTTTTGTATCGAAATTTCTATTAACCTAAGTGCCATTTACGAGTTGTAGGGACCGTGCTTCCGAGCAGCACTTCGGATACGAACAAACAGAACTAATGTAATTACGTGAAGGCATTACAATGAGCTTTCGGATTCGTACTCAACTGACGTGCAATTCTTCGTGTGCCTTTGTAAAAGCCCGTAGGCACTGTTGGTTTAATGCAAAGCTTGTGATGTTGGGAATTTTCAAATGTGAGGCAGAATATTGCGTAAGCAAAAATTTTAGCCCAGGCAGAGGTTATTTACGAGCAATTGGGTCACTTATACATTAACTAAGAGATCTCGTTAGTCTAACGAGTCACTGGGAAGATCCAGCTTTTCTTGAGTAAACTCGCGGTTCTGTTTTGGGGGATTTGCCCGAAAAACCTCGGGATTATAGTTCATTTACTTCATGGAAAGCCACAAGTCCAGCGCGGATTCTTGGCAAATTGCGGTGTGGATCGGGAATTCAAGTGATATCCCGCCACCAACACGTGCATCTGAATGCTAGGAGTCAGTCTGCAAACATCCAATGGCTCTACTCCTTGAAGGCCTTTCTGGGGGCAGGGAAGACACTGTTGACATAACTTTACCGATCGAGCCTCCTATAAAACGTTTCCATTATACTCAGAATGTTCACAAAGCGGAATTTTCTTCTTAAGAAGTTTCTTAGCTATAAGCTAAGCATGTTTTTCCAGGAATGAGGAAGCTAGGCCTATAGAGAACCTCCGTTGTGCTTTCCTCACTGAAATTGATGAGGTAGACAGGAGTTTTCCTGAGGAGAAGGAATAATGAGCACTTTCTTCAGTCATTTAGGACTCAGTCGTCCTTAGACCAGCGTTAAGCTGATTGTACAGAAAAGATTCTAAAATTGGTTGTTGGTTGAGTGTAAAATAATATCCAGAGGCTCTGTTCGACCCCGTGGAGACGTACGTCAAAGTACTTAACCTTGTTTTGTGCTAGATTATTCATTTGTTCATGGGCTTTTGAAGTAGATTTGGGCACCATAAATTTTCGCTGTGCCTCAAAATTCGGGAGGACTGATCAGCCATCCAAAAGTGGTTTTTATCAGCCAATTTATGGACTCAACCGTTCTTCCATGGGATAGTTAGGAATTCATTATCATTGCTATGCCAAGGAATGTAATCGAGTTATTTCTTCGACTGTATATGTATTGAAGGGTTACAGGCAGAGCCCTTGATGACCCTATTTATGTACAGTGCTTTCGCAGATTCATACTCAAAAATAAAATTGCAGGCATTTAAAATGTGATTGTGTCACAGTTCAATCGTAATCATAAGGTAGTGCATAGGGTCGCTGTAAATTAGTGCGGAAGATTGTATATGACAGATTTTACAAAACTGGCTGTGCATAGTCATGCTGTACAAGCCGATTTCTGTCGAAAACTAGACGAGCAAGTTTTCTTTTAAACCCACAAACTGTGTCAGCCGTCACCATCTCGCTTGGAAGCGAGTTCCACGGCCTGACAACCCGCTGGCTGAATGAAAATTTTCGTCGGTCTAAACGCGTGCGCTCATTCCCGACTTTGTATGCATGGCCGCGTAGTTGGTTTGTTCGGGCGAACTCAAAGAAGTCCTCTGCTCTTAATGAGCAACCCTGGCCGCGAACAATCCGGAAGGTCCAGAGAAGACTGCAGTTTATTTGTCTATAAGAGAGAGGGAATAGACCAAGCAAATTCAGCCTCTCCTGATAAGACAAATGCTTTAGACCGTCGACCATTTTTGTCGCTTTGCGTTGCACCTGTTCGAGTAAGTTGATATCCTTCCTCATCCATGGTGAAGCTGCTGGCATTCCATACTCTAGATGAGGTCTTACAAAGACACCAAAGAGTCTTTCGAAAAGTTCGGGAGGAAATATTTTAAATGCGCGTCTGATCCAGTGTAGAGTACTAGTAGCCTTCTGGACCATCTTCCTGCAGTGTTCTGATGGCGATAGATTTGTGGTCGTCCATACACCCAGATCTCTGTGTCTTTCCACAGTTTCTAACCTCGTCGCGTCAATATAGTACTGGTGCTTCGGAGAGGCATTGCGGCTGGTGTTCAGGTGCAAAACCACGCATTTGGACACGTTAAACTTCAAAAGCCACCTGTTCGACCAAGCACACAGTTTGTTGATGTTCAACTGCAACTTCTCTGCGTCATCATCGCACTTGACTTCACTCCATATTTTTATGTCATCCGCGAACATGAGAGCCTCGCAATTCACTTCGCTGATGCAGTCATTAACATAAATCAGGAAGAGTACTGGGCCTAAGACAGAACCCTGTGGGACACCACTTTCCAC